ACAATCAAGCACGTGGAATCCGGAAGCCCGGACTTCTTTCAACTAGGGGCATTAGTTCGTAGCTTGCCCACCTAATGAGTGTTCCAGATAAGTATCCCGGGGGGCACCTAGGTCAATCTAAGGTTAGGTAGTTTGAATACCTACGAACGGGTCCTTTCAAGGTGGCTCAATATAAATCCATAATTCCGGCAGAGATTCCGCATCTAAAGTATGATTTTGTAAGCACTAACCATACAGGGGAAGTTGAGTATGCCTTTTGGGTCACGAATCAGACCACCCCGCCACCAGGGTATAGTAATTGGGTCAAACTCACCAAGTTCAACGCCCAACACACCTTGATACCTTAAGCAATCAGAGAAACAAAGTAAGCTTTATAATATCACTTTCTATGAATGAAAGAACGATTTTTGTATATTTTTTAGAAACTCCTCTTTGTGAACTCTGAGAAGTTTGCGCAACAACACCTATACCTTAGTTTTTCCCTCACCTAGCGAGCAAACGAGATCCCGATAGAAAATAAAAAAACATGTCGGCATTTACGGCTTCGCAGATTCAGTCAGCTTCTCCGCCCAGCTGCACTGTTTCAACCCCAGGCGAGAATGACACGGTCTACTCGTTTCTGAATAATCGGTGGATGACGATGGGATCGTCGACGCTCCCTGCTGCGTCAGTCGTGCCGTCAACTAAAGAGGACGTTGTAGCAGTGGTACGGTATGCAGCTGCGAACGGGCTGAGGGTCTTGCCACAGTGTGGAGGCTGTGGTGGTCTCGTCATCACAAACAGCAAGACGCTTTACCTAGACATGGAGAAATTTCACTCTGATGTCGATGTCGAGTCACAAACTGTAACGTTTGGAGGTGGCACTCTGACGAAGGACCTTCAGCCTGCCGTGTCAGAAAAGGGATTCTACACAGGTATGCCTACTTCCCTCAACATCACTGAGCTACGAATTAGCACAGCTCGAATGACCTACTAATATAGATCTAGGCTGGGCTCACTTCGGCGCCGTTGGCATGGTCGGCACAATTTTGGGAGGCGGCATCAACCTGTTCCAGGGGACAAAGGGTCACACTTGTGACAATCTGATCGGCGCACAACTAGTCACCGGCGCCGGCGAAATTATCGAAGTCTCGGAAACGTCCGCAGGATCGGAGAAAGAGCTTTTCAATCAACTGAAGGGGGCTGGTGCGGGGTTCGGGGTGGTCCTCTCGATGACTATGCGCATTTACCCCACGGCGGAGCTCGGTCTTGCTGGAAATTCGACGATCCCCGATATTACCTAGGTACGGCCATGTTCTCACGGGATAACTTCGATGCGGCGGCTAAGCTGTGGGAGCTGGTTTCACGAGCCCCCGCCCCTATCACCGCCAGCTTCATCCTGATGGCCGGGCCGCCTGGGACGCCGAATGCGGGAAAACCTATTGTTATCGCACAGGCATCCTACCCCGGGCCGCAAGCGGATGCAGATAAAGCATTTGCGCCCTGGATTGACCCTGTTATTAGGGAGAGGGCCATCATGGTCAAGCCCGGGTCGTCCGAGTTGACTAGGATGAACATGCAGCGTGATGCAATGATGACAAAGGGATCCAATACAGATTGCCATAATTGCCTTGTGAAAGAGCTGTCCGGCGCAACACTTTTACGTGCCGCGAATAGGTTTGCTGAGTTTGTTGATACATACGGACTAAACATCGCGCGATGCATGACTGCCCTGCATCCGATGCATGCAGATGGACTGACGAAGGCGAGTGAAGGTCAAGAGAGCTGGATGTGTCACCGCGATCGTAATTTTATGGTACAGACCGTGCCGTGGCATCTCGCGGATGAGTACGCAGAGGCCGGACGACAGTACGGACGAGATATCCTCGAAATCGTGCGCAGCGAGGACTCTGCCAAGGGAACGCCGAACGCCATTCTTGCCGGCAACGCTAGAGTTGAAGCCGATATGATAGAAATCTTAACACCAGAGAAGATAGAGATTATGAAGAAGCGAAAACAGCAATGGGATCCTCATGGTGTATTTTGGAATCCGGCTGTAGATGGGTGGGCGGGTTAAGCAAAATAATGACTAGATTTATTGTCAAATGCTATCAGATGATATCAAAGTATCATCAGCTTATATCGGGTAGACTAGTACTGTACACTAAGTGAACATATTCGAGCAGGGTAGACAACAAGGATAACCTGCTTCAAACCAACGCAAGAAATTATCAGTCGTGAGAAGGTGAGGCTCTGCATGGCCACTACATGGCTAGTAAAGGCACTGTTGTGTGAGTATGTAGAAGCCATAATAGGACCACCCTACATATGTAGGGTACCGAAAACGAAACGAAGGTTTTATCATTGTGTTCCCAAACCTAGATTCGACATAGTTAGCTCGTTGGCCTCGGCGATGCCATAAATTGCAACATCTCTCATGCTTTTACCGGGCTCTATGTTAGAATTTTTCTGTTCTGCTAGGCCTGGCCTGTGAAAGATCAGATACACCGCAAATAAGATCGACGTCAGGGGAACCATCATCTCGGACTCTTACTACCTAGAAAGGCAATACCATTAGTCAAATATGCCGACTGATTGGCCGCTGGCCCACGACTTGGCGTGGACCAGGGGGCCAAAAACAGAGTTTTCAGCGGGATTTCTACCGAACTTAGAGCAGTGTAGGTTAGACTAGAATCTATACTACGGTTCAGTCCGACGGGTTCAACCGACTGCAGAGCTTTGTTTCCGACCTCGCCACATCATCACACAGTGTTCTGATTGTTAGTCGGGGATGGTGGCGGTCTCCAGGTGGAAATAATTTTCTGTCCGATGGAGTCCGAAGCTGTCGTGACTCCATAGCGAATGGAACGTTGTGAGTAGTTAACGGCGGGTGAGAGTCATACGTCTTGTTTCTTTTATTGCAGCCACTTCCTCCCCGAGATTCTATGTGTCAAGCTCCCCGCTTGCTACATACTATACACGTCAAACTACGATTCGACTTTCGCGTCTGGCCATTGCTTCGTACCCGACTTCAATGGGCGAGAACCCTCACATCGACATGGGGATACATCCTGTCGAATCCGAGAAAAAGGTGCCAGGTGCAGCGCTGGCCGCTTCATCAGTCGATGGCTCACAGAAGGACCTGTCTGAGGGCGAAGGCCTACAGCGTGGCCTAAATAGCTGGCACCTCCAGTTCATCGCCATAGGGAGTGCCATCGGCACAGGACTCGTAAGCTTCAAATCATCCGTGACGGAGTATTCTTGTTCCTTTCTGACATGTCGTAGTTCCTCGGCAGCGGGAAAGCGCTCGCGATGACAGGGCCTGTCGGATGCTTGATTGCATTCCTCTTCGTCGGCTCGATTGTCTACTCGATTATGGTAAGCTTAGGGGAGATGGCTACCTTCATACCCGTCGCGGGATCCTTTACGGCCTATGCATCACGATTTGCCGATCCTTCTCTCGGTTTCGCCATGGGTTGGATATATTGGTTTAGCTGGGCATCGACTTACGCACTCGAGCTAGTTGGTTCAGGCCTTGTCATCCAGTATTGGAACAAGACCCTGAATGTCGGTATTTTCATCGCTGTGTTTTGGGTTGTCTTCACGGCTTGTAATTTTTTACCCGTTCGGTTGTTTGGGATTTTCGAATCCTACTTCGTGTCCATTAAGGTCATCACCATTATCGGCTTTATTATCTTCGCCATTGCCATCGATGCGGGCGCTGGTCAACACGGCTATCTGGGGTTTGATGCGTGGGTCCATCCAGGTGCTTTTGCCGAGTACATAGTCCCTGGAAACAGTGGCAAATTCGTTGGGTTTTGGTCTGTTCTTGTAACTGCAGGGTTCTCATATCAGGGCACCGAGCTCGTGGGTGTTGGTGCAGGCGAGACAGCAAATCCTGCTAAAAGCGTGCCTCGGGCAATCCGCTGGACATTCTGGGGTGTCTTCTCGCTTTTCGTGGCGACCATCTTCTTCATCGGCATCACAGTACCCTTTGACAACCCAAACCTTCTCACCAACGCCAGCGATGCCTCGGCATCCCCTCTCGTCATTGCTGCCAAATTGGCTGGCGTACCTGTCCTCCCACACATCATTAACGCTGTCCTGCTTACAGCGGTGTTATCAGCTGCCAACTCCAATCTGTACTCAAGTAGTCGGATAGTGGTCGCGCTGGCCAACGAAGGGCATGCGCCCGCATTTTTGGCGCGGACGAACCGCTTTGGCACACCCCATTACGCTGTCGGCTTTTCATCACTCATCGGCCTGCTTGCTTTTCTTAACCTCTCATCTGGCGGAAGCCAAGTTTTCAACTGGTTGTTGAACATTACAAGTATAGCCGGCTTCATTAGCTGGTCCTGTATTAGCATCTGCCACTTGATCTTCATGCGGGCCTTGCGATTCCGAGGCATGTCGCGGGATATACTGGCGTTTAAGGCGCCCTTCCAGCCCTACCTAACGATCTATGGGCTCTTTTTTTGCGTCCTCATTCTCTTCACGAATGGGTTTACGGTGTTCATTCGGTGGAGCACTAGCGAATTCTTTGCGGCCTACGTCAGTCTTATTTTGTTTATTGTCCTCTACGTAGGACATAAAATCGTCTTCCGAACAAAGTTTGTAGCTTTGGCCGATATTGATCTTGAGCGGGACCGCAACCGGGCGGGCTTGTAGCGACTATTAAATAGCGCCCATCTCTTGCTTAGGCAGATTTAATGATATATGCGTGTTAAATATATTTAAAGCCTCGCAGCGATGGTGAAATGATAAGTCTGGTGTGAAAATACAAGACCACGTAGATAACATGTTCGATGGAAAACAGCTAAAATGCTAACGCGCTGTACAGCTATCGATAATGAATCAGGGCTAAGTACTCAAGTATCTTTAAGTAGCCCAATCCGGTTAGGTTTTTCAGGGCACAAACTCAGCCAACTTCCTTCACTCTTTTGCCATAGGACATATACTAAGACCACGACCAAGCTCACAACGACTGGCCAGGAGCTCTTCTAGCCTTCCTCGCCTCACTCGGGCTTGTGGTTTAGTGGTATAATACTCCCTTAGCATCTGCTTCTTCTTTCCAGAAGCCTGTGAAAATTGGGAGTGGTCCGGGGTTCGATTCCCCGCGAGTCCATCATCGGTGGTTCAATTCCACCTATACCTCCGTTCTTTTATTCCCCTTTTTTTCAATCTTCCCTTCCGTGTCTCTCCTGCCTGAAGATTATCTTAACAGGCTACGTAGCCCATTCGACGGATTACGTAGCCTATCCCATGATAGAGTTTGTAACCTAGGTAGGTACCTACCTATGTAGGTACCTAAGGTACATGCTCATATGTGACATATGCAACTCCCATAAGATGGGCTGAATAGGGGCAGTGAGCGGATGCCTAATCACTCCCGTTGACCTTTCATTTTCGTCGATTATTGCTTTTGTGAGCGAGGCCCTTGAGCAGTCTAAATGTTATTTCAAATATAGTCCCATTTTGGTGCTGGAATGCAATGTCACTGACAAACGCAGGAATGCTAATTTAGTAAATATGTATCTTCAAGTGCCGCTTGACAGGTATCATTACATGAAGTCACGATCTTGTCGATCAACAGGATTCTGCAAATCCTCACTGCTAAAGGTACAGGACTTCGGCCATATCATAAAGCTAGTCCTACACCAGTCGATATATTCGGCAGGGGCCCGTGACGACATATATCAGTATTAATGCGCTAGGACGCGGCTTCTTGTGATCCGCAGAATAAGAGAACCGGGAGAAGGCTTCACTTTCTTACTCTTACCTTACCTCAACCACTTTACAGCAGCACGCAGGTCTTGACTTACCCTTTCACTCCGCACCTAGTGTCTTCATGTTTCTATTCGTTCCCCTTTGCTTCGTCAATAAATTGGATGACGACTGAGCTGGCTCTTTTGATTATTTTTGCTGTTGTTCACGCTTCAAACCTGCGTAATTTCGCCGGCCCCTCAAAGCTTAATTAAATTCATCCATTGCATCCTACAACAATACATTTTTTCGTAAATACCGCCGCTATCAGTTACACTTTGTAGGATTCTCAATTTTCTTTTCTCCATCACGAGCAACATTTAGGTATACGTTTCCTCCCTTGCCAACTCGTCAAGTTTCCCGTTCAATCTATTTTTGAACGAGCTGCTGTAGCCATTCTTGAGAGTTCCATACATGCTGTCGAGATGGGTGCGACCTTCGTGGCCCCGAAGGACCTGGATATCAATGATCCAGGTATGTGTATTGAAATCTCGCATTGTCTATTACTCGCTGGCGTTATTCTTACCTAAGTATCTTGTAGGCTCAATTAGATCAGTTTCCAGTACGCTTGCTTATGGCACAATGAGCTATTACACTGGAAACATTACAAATACCCCAGATGTATGTATAGACCTCTATCTATAATGGCTAACTAAGCTTAATAAGGCTAACCATGCTTACGAGACTATCGCTGTCTTTCCGCAACCTCACTGTAAATCGTCGCCCCATCTCCCAGTCACAGGATAGCCTTATTTTGCTGACATTATGTGCAATAGACTGGTGGCAAGCCGGTGCTTGTTGGGGAGCTATGCTGGATTATTCGCACTTTACGGGCGACCCGAGCTATGACGATGTGATAACTCAGTATGTATTCTGGCGGAGTTTATTTATTCATTTCCCCCTTTTCCGGCAAGGCTTATGCTCATATATTCTCATGAAACCCCGATAACAAATTTGGTCTATACCATGGCCATATCTTCTGACAACTTATTGTTATAGAGCACTGCTAAGCCAAGTCGGACCCAATTTTGATTTCATGAGTACATTATATGCTGGTTCCGAAGGCAATGACGATCAAGCTTTTTGGGCCTTTTCTATACTAGAGGCCGCGGAACGCAACTTTCCTCAGCCTAACGATTTCATACCGCCATGGCTCAAAATAGCGGAGAATATATGGAACACTATGGTCCTCAGATGGGATGACACGACTTGCAACGGTGGCTTACACTGGCAAATATACCCCGAAAACCCAAACGGTTTCGATTACAAAAACGCAGTATCCAACGGTGGCTTTTTTCAAATGTCTGCGCGACTAGCTCGCGCAACTGCAAACGAAACCTACCTTCAGTGGTCTGAAAAGGTATGGGATTGGTCCCAGAATATTGGCCTCATAGACCAGGATTTCAACGTGTTCGACGGTGCCAGCTCGTCTCAGGAGTGTCGTAATACCAACCCTTTAAGCTTCTCCTACTCGCAAGGTATTTATATGTACGGAGCAGCAGTGCTCTTCAACTACACTAATGGAGATGAAACTTGGGCAGATCGGACAAACGGTCTTCTACAGGCTTCCCGATCATATTTTAGCCCACTTCCAAACGCTCCAAACATCATGTATGAACATGCTTGCGAGTTATCTAATACATGCAATACGGACATGAAATCGTTCAAAGGTTACCGTAAGTAATTTCCGGGGCCGTTTTTTTCTCGTTATAGTCATTTTAAGAATATGGTGAACCTATCCTCAAGCCAGAACAAGTTCTAAAAACGCTTCGCGCTCCAGAGAGAATTACGCCCGAAATGACGATTGCTAACCCCGAGCACCGTAGTCTCTCGCTTCATGGCCGCAACGGCACTGATGATGCCTTCAACTCTCCATAACGTCCGAGAATTGCTGCGTGCATCTGCTGTTGCAGCAGGGAAGGCCTGTTCTGGCGGAGATGGTAGTACTGTCTGCGGACAGAAGTGGTATGTATTTTCAAGTTATATGTCTTCCTTTTCCACCAGCTTCGACTTCAATTTCATTCCATACTCAGATATCGTACAATGTCTTCAAAATTCTCGCGATTACTGACGCCAGATTTTCAGGTACGTAGGAGGATATGATGGGAACCCAGGGCTGGGACAATCAATGACAGCTCTCGAAACTGTCCAGGCGTTACTCGCCTTCGACGCGCAACCACCTTTTAAATATGGCGAAATCAAACATGTCAAGAGTAGAGACGGAACGTCCCCAGATTATCCAACAACTACACCATCCGCTACAATCCCACCATCCCTTACAATCCCACCATCCGTTACACTCCCATCATCCACTACACTCCCACCGTCCGCCACTGTGCCACAAACAACCTTGCCATCGACTACGACTACACAGCAGCCAGACCATGCTGCTCATACTATCACGGCTGGTTACATTCCCGCTCTCGTGGTATTCATGTTCTCAATTTTACTTTTCGGCGTATAAACTGATAGTCGGGAGACAAAGATGCCTGATGAGAGGAGTCGGCCTTCAATAAATGTTCCATAGATCTTAGATGAGGGGCGTTTAGCATCACATTGGACAAGCACAAGTTAGTAGCATGCATCCTAGTCACAATTCAATTCTCTGAAAATAACCAAATGAGTCATCGTCCAATCCCTTGTCAAGTGCGAAATCCGGAACGATATCCTGTCCTACTTTTTAATATGTGTTTATTTGAGCTAAGAAAGTAAGTTTCATATTTCAATTCAGCGGTGTGCTGGTTAACTGCAACATCGCCTAACATGCATCGATGCGGTCTATCAATTATGATAGGTTTCTCAAGATTGCTCCGATCGGAGCCCCACAGCGTCGGAGCCACTAAATGCCTGCCGGCGCGATCTCTGACTCAAGCATTCGGACAACCTTGGTGGGTGGTAATAATAAGTTAAATAGCCACTTAATATCTCCGGAGGCGCATTGAAGGAAGGACAAGCACGAGTCTCGTGAGTTGGGCGGACAAGGCAAACCAGGCGACTCGTACTGACCAATTGGCTCACTATGTCGGTGTTTAACTTGGAGACCTGTGCGAGGTCTAACATCTTGGCGCTCGAGCCGTACCGGTGTGCGAGAGAGTGAGAAATCTGGAATATTTCGAGTGTTCTATGCCAATGCTGACACCCTGAATCTAGCGATTACAAGGATGATGGCACAAATATTTTATTAGATGCAAACGAGAACGCCTTCGGCCCGTCCTTGACGTCCTTGACGGCTGCAGCCACTACCTCGGCGTCGTCAGGCCCCAAGATTGACTTCGTGGGCCTGCACAGATATCCGGACCCTCATCAAAGGGAGTTGAAGCAGTTGCTATGCAATCTGAGAAACACCCACCACCACACAGACAAGAAGATCACGCCCGACAACTTATTCGTGGGTGTCGGGAGTGACGAAGCCATCGATAGCCTCATGCGATGTTTCTGTGTTCCCAGCCGAGACAAGATCCTAGTCTGCCCGCCTACTTATGGCATGTATTCCGTATCAGCACAGGTAAACGATGTGGGCCTAGTCAAGATACCGCTCCTGCCTGCGCCGACATTTGCGCTTGATGTCGCCAAGATAAAAGAGGCGCTATCAAATGAGCCAAACATCAAGTTACTGTATCTGTGCTCGCCGGGAAATCCAACGGGCGCCCCGCTCGCAAAGGAGGATATACAGCAGCTACTAGAGCACCCGACGTGGAACGGCGTGGTCATCGTTGACGAGGCGTACGTCGACTTCTCGCCCGCCAGTGCTTCGCTTGCTGAGTGGGTCGCCGAATGGCCCAATCTAGCCGTCATGCAGACATCATCCAAAGGCTTCGGAATGGCGGGTATTCGGCTTGGTTCCGTGTTCACATCAGCGCCTATCGCACGGCTTTTGAATAATATGAAGGCGCCGTATAATGTCCCAAGTCCGACCAGTGCGCTGGCTATATATGCGTTCTCTGCAGATGGGCTGGCGGTTATGCGTGCGAACCGAGACAAAATCGTCGCGCAACGGGATCGCTTGATTCGGGAACTGCCCAAGGTCAAAGGAGTCGGACGTCTACGGGGCGGTGTCGAGAGTAACTTCTTGCTCTACGAATTACTAAATAAAGATGGACAGCCAGATAATGTCACCGCACTCGCTGTGTATGAGAGGCTGGCCGAAGATAAAGGAGTCGTGGTACGGTTCAGGGGTAAGGAGCATGGGTGTCTCGGATGCCTACGAATCACGGTTGGGACAGAGACTGAGGTCACAAGGTTTCTGGATTCACTGGAAAGGACTCTTGCTGAGGTCAACGGTCATGATACCACGGCCTCAAAAGACGAGGAAAAGAAAGAGCTTGAGGCCAACGCTGTTATTGCTTAGATTTGGCTATTGGT